CGAGACGCTTTGCTGGGCTGGTGGTGCCTAAAACACAGCACCGTTTCTTATGAACCAGGATTTCGTAAGAACAAAAGAGCAACAGAAGCAGCTAAGGAAACGCATTCTGCTGCTTTTTTTGCTCGACACTTGAGGTGCAGCAGCCAGCACCGAGAATATTCCCTCCGGTTAAAAAAAGGAAGGGAACGTCTCCACACAAAGCTGCCTTCCTCTCTGCAGTTCAGCTAGCCTCTCTGGAAAAGATCCAGCCCCACGTTAAAAACACCCCAGCTCCGCATCAACACCGATATTCCCCCAAACCCAGAACGAATGCAGCGCTGAGCCCGGCCTTGAATATGCCCCCCGCCCCCATCGCTACGGCACTGCAAAGCTGCGAGCCGCGCCGTGCCGTGCAGACATTAACTGCGCCTGAACTGTGGTTTTAATTACATGCTTATATTGTCATGGAAATCTTATGCTGGCCAGTTAGGTCGGTCGACCAGTTTTCAACGACCACCACCAAAAACCTAGACAATTTCTTTCTTGTTAGTGCTTTGACAGCCCTGCCGGTACATCTGGAACTTGGGAACGAACTAATAAATCCCGGCAATATTACTCCCCGCATAAAAATAATGGTGCTACTTACAGTATTTGAAGGCGCCCTAAACCAACAGCTTTACAATCCAGATGTGGCATTGCAGAGCTGCAAGTCTGAGGCTAAAATGACGGCCGAAGTTACACGTGCCATTAAAAGCATGGATTTTGCGAGGGTCTGTGCTTCAGCGAGGGCTGCTAAATCAAGCCAGCCCCCGAAGGCAGAGAAACACGAGTCAAAATTCAAGGAAGCTCAAAAACAAAAAGTCTTGGTTCTGCCTAAGAGAAAACAATAGCCAGGGAGACGAGCAGACGGGAGGACAGAGCTACTCCTTTTATTACTTTCAGATGTTTAAACAGAACGGCGCGCCGCTTTATAAATCGGCACATTTTTTGGCTCTCTCTGAAATAACAGAGTAGCTTCTTCCACCGACTTCAGCAGAAGGGGACCACGGATAAACGCGGCCCTGACACTTTCAGCTGGCCGAGATATGGAAGTTTAATAGACAACACATGCATAGGAGCTGCTCTCCCGACTGTTTTATCGCCTGAAGAGTTCAATCCCATTGAAAGCAAGCAAGCCCCTCGAAGCAATCCGGGTTTGCCCTTTGACACGACGGGCCGACCGGAACGCATCGAGGAATTCGAACGCTAGCTTTGTCCCGCGTGGGTTTGCCTTCCCCTTCCTCCACCCCGTAGCTTCGACCCCCTGAAAAGCAGCAACGCGGCTCGCAGACGGAGGTAGCCGTGTCCTGCAAAGCGAGTGGTTTGGGTCCCCGTCCCCCACCCCCCTTTTTTAAACTACCCCGATGAACATTTGCCTAAGAAGTGGACAGACATTATGGGATCCTCGAGGCTAAAACGTTAAGGGTTCACACGACAAATCCCAGGTGATGTTGGGGCTGCAAGCGCGAGTCGCCTGCCTGCGACTACGGCACCTGTCTGGAGGCCGGAGCAGGGGCCGCAGAGGTGGGACGCGGGGCGGGGCGGGGGCTCGGCTACTCCAGGCGCTTCCATATTTCCAAGCAGCTGTTGATCAGCGGCTCCGAATACACCCTCCCCAGCCACCAAACTCACAACACAGCCCCTTTCACGTCGCCCCTGCTATTTCAATTCAGTTACTTCTACTTTATTTTTAAGGACGCTCATTTCTTTGCCGATCCCTTGTCTCCGAATCCCTGAAACACCACGTCTCCTCCAGAAACAAGCAGCCATCGGCTTTCCCACACAAAGACAGATAAACCGTCTTCCTCTAGCCTTTTTTTTCCTGGCAGAGAAAACCGGCACGACTGCTAGCAAGCCAGAAAGGTCATTTTTAACCGCCGGCTGGTCCTGCGACCTCGTCGGCTTCCCTCGGCTCGGGTTTAAAAAGCTCAGCGCTAAGAATATACGTAGAAACGCATTTCGACATGACACCTATACGGAGAGAGACGTCTATAGCCGTCTGTCTACCGAGGGTCTGGATGTAGATGTAGCGGAGCGATCACTACACTTTGCGGACCGGGGGCCCCGGCACATCCCGAGCCCGCTGCAGGACGCACGCAAGGGGCAGCTTTTCCACCTAGCGAGCGCTGCGGCTGGGGCAGAGCACGGCACCTCTGCCCGCTTTCAAGCCCGCGCCCGCACCCGCGCTGGGAGACCCCGGGAGGCGAGCGGCTTGGAAAGGGGATGCTGGGCGCCCGTCTCCGAGGGGCTCTACCCGGGCATCTCACAGAGGAGCTGGCGGCAGGGGCCGCGGGCGGGGGCTGCACGCACCTGTACCAGGGCAGCCCCCGCTCGTAGCAGCGGTCGAAGAAGTGGGGCTCGGCGCCGAGGGCGCGCACGTCGGGGTGCACGCGCAGGAACTCCAGCAGCGCCCGCGTGCCGCCCTT